AAATTTTTAATATAGAAAGGAATTGAAAATTATAATTTTAAATATAAAAAATAAAAGAAAATAAAAACATAATAAATGGCTAATCGTATTAATCAAAAAAGCTTTAAACACTAATAAAATAATGTGAACGAAATCACATTCCTTTACGGGTGATTTTAGAATTGACTATTTAAGTAATCTTTTAGTTAAAATATGAGGTAAAAAAAATAATATATTTGAAACTTTTTTTTAACTTTTTATAAAAATAAAATAGAATTAAAACCTTTAACTTTTTTTCGTATAATTCTTTAAAATTTGTAAATATTTTTGGTCGCTTTTTAACATTTAAACTCTCTTTTAAATGTCCCCAAACCAAGCATTGTAATAATACTTTGAGGACTAGAACATTCAGACATAGCCAAATAGTAGTAGTAACTCAGGGCTAGAGATTTGTGAACTTTGTAAAAGCAAGTGCAAGCCCGCCTAAACAAACCCTAACACTCTTCACCTTCTGTAAAATCATTGTGGAAACGAAGTCTTAACTTCCTTGTATGATTCTCTTGATTAGATATGTCAAATTTTTTTTTTTAAATTATAATTACCAATTAATTATCTATTGTCATTTAGGGCTTACATTTTCCAACATTGTTTGTGGATATGTATATCGTAATATTTTTTGTTCTTTCTCTTTTTCTGGATTGATGATGAAATCACAGAATACATTTTACTTTTGAGGATAAGGAGTTTTGTTGTTGTATCACAGCTTGGGAATTTTTTTTTATCTATTAATCTATGTATAAGTGGGGATTTATTTATTTATTAATGTGTAATTTATACAACTAGGGCTGTGCCCAAAAAGCTAAAAGTTGTGCTGTGTTGTATTGATAATCAAGCCAACCAACCCTTCAGTTTAGTTATTAAGTCTCTGTTTGGTTTGCTTTTCAAAATTTGTTTTTTTTTTTTTCAAATTTTTTTTGGAAAAAATTAGAAACTAATTTAGTGAAAAAAATAATAAATAAAAATTGCTCATCATAAGAATTTTTTTTGGAAATTGATCCTGAAATTATTTTTGTTTATCCCATAAGAATTTTATCTTTTGTGAAGTAACTGGTGATTCAGTGTAGTTTGTGTTTTTGGATTCTGTAACTCCTTGGGGAAAATACATGCTTGTCTTTCCGTGACAAGAATGTAACTGTGGTATAAGAGTACTTGATGAATCCTGATTTATCTTCTGTTTTTTTCCCCACCCAAATTTCATTGAGGTAATGAACTTAATTTGTAGTTAATATAAATTAATCTTTAAGGTCCCGTTTGTTTTCAGAGGTAGAATGGAGATGATTCATAGTGAAGGAATTAATGGTGAGGAGATTGTTAGTGAGAGGATTGATGGTCAGGGGATTAAGTAAAATTATGTTTGTTTTGCTGATAGTTGTTAGTGTAGGAATTGTTAAATTATTTTTATATAAAATAATAAAACAAATAAAAAAATATATAAAAAATTAAACATTAATATTTAAAAAAATTCCCAAAATATAAAAAATAAAAAAAAATAAAAAAATTTCTAATCCCCTCACTATTTTTCTAATACCATCTCCATCTCCTCTATCTCAATCCCCCTTCCAACCTCCATCTATATCACCTCCTCCATCCTAATTCCCTCTCCAACTCTACAAACAAACACAATACTAAATAATACCGCATTCATCCTAATATCCTTACATCTATTTGACCCCAAAACAAACGGCCTAATAGGTTTTAATTGCCTGTTTAGTTTGTGTTTTTATATTCTATTTTGAGCTTTCATTACATACATGTCAAAATATTGGTGGATGTTTAAATATGATTGCTTTTCTGATAACTAATCTCTTTTGTGTTTTTAGTAAGATTGTTAGAATTCCTAGAATTTTTACAAAAGCATCCCAGAAAAAATGTTTGCTCAAATGTTTTCAAAAACTATTTTCAAGATTTTTTTTTTTTGAAACAATTCACTTTTTAATAATAATAAAAAAAAAACATTTTTCAAAAATTTCAAAACCATTATCGTACCAAGAAAATGATAATTGTTTTAAAACTTTTCATTGTTTTATTTTTAAAAATACAATAAATTAAATAAAAATACAATTAAACAGTAGGTTTTGTGCAGTTTCTATTCAAATTTAAATATTAATTAACTTATAAATTTGTTTAAATTTGACTTAACTAATCTTAAGAAACAATCCAAAAAATGAGCTGTGTTTAAAAGGTAGTTTGTTTTGCAGCATGCTGCCAAACATTTTAATAGCGATTGATTGAAGATAATAAAATACTTTCTAGGCTTTGAGCATCTATCTACATTTTAAAAAAAAAAAAAATCTAAAATTTAATCCACAAAAGTAAACATTGATTGATAACTCTCACACTATGTGTTTTTAACACGACCAACAGATAGAGGTAGTGGCTCTACTTTTTTTTTTCTTTCTTTTTTTTTTTAATTCTGAAAAAAAAAATAGTTTCATAAAAATAAATACTAAAAAGGTATTTTTTGAATCATTAAAAAAAAATTACCCTTAAAAAATGTAAAACCATATGAGAATGATGAATTTTATTATTATTTTCACTAAATTAGTTTCTAATTTTTTCCAAAAAAAATTTGAAAAAAAAAAAAACAAATTTTGAAAAGCAAACCAAACAGAGACTTAATAACTAAACTGAAGGGTTGGTTGGCTTGATTATCAATACAACATAGCACAAGTTTTAGCTTTTTGGGCACAACCCCAGTTGTATAAATTACACATATTAATAAATAAATAAATCCCCATTTATACATAGATTAATAGATAAAAAAAAATCTCAAGCTGTGATACAACAACAAAACTCCTTATCCTCAAAAGTAAAATGTATTTTGTGATTTCATCATCAATCCAGAAAAAAAGAAAGAACAAAAAAAATTACGTTATACATATCCGCGAACAATGTTGGAAAATGTAAGCCCTAAATGACAATAGATAATTAATTGTAATTATAAAAATAATAAAATAATAAAATTGACATACCTAATCAAGATACAAGGAAGTTAAGACTTCATTTCCACAGTGGTTTTACGGAAGGTGAAGAGTGTTAGGGTTTGTTTAGGCGGGCTTGCACTTGCTTTTACAAAGTTCACAAATCTCCAGCCCTGAGTTACTACTACTATTTGGCTATGTCTGAATGTTCTAGTCCTCAAAGTATTATTACAATGCTTGGTTTGGGGACATTTAAAAGAACGTTTAAATGTTAAAAAGCGACTAAAAATATTTACAAATTTTAAAGAATTATACGAAAAAAAGTTAAAGGTTTTAATTCTATTTTATTTTTATAAAAAGTTAAAAAAAAGTTCCAAATATATTATTTTTTTTACCTCATATTTTAACTAAAAGATTACTTAAATAGTCAATTCTGAAATCACCCGTAAAGGAATGTGATTTCGTTCACATTATTTTATTAGTGTTTAAAGCTTTTTTGATTAATATGATTAGCCATTTATTATGTTTTTATTTTATTTTATTTTTTATATTTAAAATTATAATTTTCAATTCCTTTCTATATTAAAAATTCGTCAATTTTGTCGGATTAAATGTCTGCTATACATGCAATCCAATTAACAAAATTTACAATCAAATATAATACAATCTCAATCCTATGCTCTAATCTTACTAATCAAACATGCTTAAAATGAATTGAAATAACAAAGTAATTTCTTAGTATTTATTCTAATATAATCATATTCTTGAATTAGGAATGAGATATTCACATTTTTTAACAATATATAACCCATTTAAGTGTAAAAATAATAATTAGGTCTATACCATTTACAATTTTATTATTAACCAAACCAAACCAAACACTTATTAAATAGGATTGACACATAATTTGTGTTATTAGTAATCAAATTTTCATTTATCTTCAAACGTTATGTTATTCAAGCATAGCTTTGAATAAACATAGGGTTATTTATATGGAGATCTCATAAACTATTGAAAAGTATCATTTTAACCACTCAAATTATGAAAACGTACAAATTGAACCCCTAAACTATAGAAGTGTACAAATAGACCCCTAAACTATTGTCGTGTTTCGCTTTGACCCATTTCGTTAGAGGTCCAATTTGTACATTTTTTTATAGTTTAGGAGGTCCATTTGTATGCTTTTATAGTTTAAGGGGTCAAAATAATATTTCTCAATGGTTTAGAAAATTTATTTGTACAAGTTTATAGTTTAAGAGGCCAAAATGATACTCGTCAATAGTTAGGAGGTCTTCATGTAAATAACTGTTGAATGTAAATGAAGGGCTATTCTATCTGAATTAGGGGTGTTGTTCACAGGTTTTGTTTTGATAATTCAAATTATTCATTTTGTAAGACTATCCATGTATATTATTCATAAAAATTTAAGTCAATCCGATAATCGTAACATCACTATAAGAAATATTGGTTATGCTGGCGTTTATATAACAATGTTTTGAAAAACGTTGCAGAAAAGGTGGCGCTTTTTTCAAAAAACGTCATGTCACCGCATACGAAGAGGAAAGCGTGTTGAGTTTTTCTATATATTTTACAAAATCCCACTCTCATAAAAAGAAGCGTAAGTGAGAGATGAGGGTTTTTACTTTTTAGTGAGAGAAAGTTTGCAAGAATGGCGTCTAGGGTTTGGATCTGCTGATTTTTCTTCAATTTCTCAGTAATCATTTTATTTAGGCTTTGGATCTATGTGTTCTTCAATTTCCCTCTAATTGATTTGCGATTTGCCTTTGAAAGCAAGGAGTTGTAGATCAGTCCAATTTTTCCGAAACTCAATGTTCGATTTCTACATTTCACTGCAACTATTAAATTGAGTTTGTTTTGATCTCACTTTGTCGTGTTTCTTGATCGATTTCTGTCATGCTAATCTATTAAAATCTGTACGTATCAATGTCTTGTTCTTGTTTGGGGTTTGTATGATTAGAAACCTAATCTTGAGAACTCAAAGCTTGTTAGAGTTTTCGCTAATTTCTCTTAGAAATGCAGGGATCTGATATCTAAACTTGTATTTCGTGCTCTATTTGCGTCGAATCGATCTCGGTGCTCCCATGATTCAAGAAGAAGAGGCCTCTTAGAACTAACAGGTTTGATCTCGAAACCTGTGTTCCAATGGTTTGAGAATGAGAGGTCTCTCTCTCTCTCTCTCATAGTTTGCATATTTGATTTGATATAATCGACCAAATTTTTCTGATAGTTCTTCTAGGTGGAATTATTGCTTCTCAATATTTTTTTGATTTGCTATTGTAGCAGGGCCTTTCCAGATTTTTTTTATTTTTATTTTTTTATTTATTTGCAATGAGATTGGTCCCTCCAGACCTGATTTGTTCTTTCAAAAAGAGTCAAATCCACTCAAGCACCACTTCCTCTTCTTCTTCTTCTTCTTCTTCTTCTTCTTCTTCTTCTTCTACTATTTATTTATTTATTTATTATTATTATTATTATTGTGATAGTTGTTTTATGCTATTATTTTTCTCTCACTCTGGTTTTCTCGTTTCTTCTTGGATATTGATTAGTGTAAACTGTTTATTTTTTTTTCTTCTTTTGCAGATCGATGTGGTACTTTAATTGGTTTTAGTAATGAGGTACTTATTTGGCTTGCAATTCCAAGTTGTTTCCTTATTCATTGTGTGGAAAACATTGAATGTGAAGGATGATTTCTAGTCTCACTGATTCATTCTCTTCTCTATTCTTTATGATTTCAGTGCAATATACAATGCAGATATATCTTTTGCTTTCATTATAATATGTATAAGAACTTCATTATAATCTTGGTTGGAAATTTTTATATGTACATGAAAGGTGATGCTTCTAAGGATCTTGATTTGTTTGTGAGGATTCACTAATACCACACAATTGTGATTTGGTTATTGCAATGCCTAGATCTTGGATGAACCTTAGAGGTATCCCTGTTTCTCTTATTGATCACATTGGAGGTACCCCCATTTCTCTTATCTCTCCTAACATGGATGAACCTTTATGGCCCAATAGTTTATATATGCACCTTAAAGGATGTCCTTGGCAACTTTTTTCTATGGTAAGACATTTTGCGTTCCTTTTATTTGTGTATCACAAATATGAATATTTGGTTCCTTTCAGAGGGTTCAAACGACTCAACTTTTTATTGGGTTCTTTTAGTGATGTTTATCTTCCATTTGTTTCATGTGTAATAAACATTTGAATTTTTGTTGTTAATATTGATTGCAATTTCTTCACCTCTAAAATACTAAAGTATATTTCTTGAGAAAAGTTGTCTTCTTGTTAAGAGATTGACATTGGATTGAATCTGTGTTTCTGTTTTGTATTTGACTGGGTTTAAAATAGTCACAACTACATGTTGCAGGTATATATATACATAAATTACTTTTTTCAAACCTAACAGAAACTGGGACTTGTTCTTCTCATGGCTGGTGAGTTTGTTCACTGTTTGTATTGTAGAGATCTCACTTTAAACTCTGTTTGAAGTACAATGATTCAATCTCCGTTGACAATGTTTTAGTTATGATATTTTATCTTACTTTTTTCATCATGACTTGCAATATTGTTTTGTCCTTTGATGTTGTTAGGGGTAATACAACACTGGATAGTTTGTCCAGCCTATGACTGTTGTCATGTATTAAATATGTTTCTTAATTTTTGTAACCATCCCCTGTTTGAAGATGCTTTCAAATTTTGTACTTATAATATTAATTAAAATTCACAGTTTGTGCTAACCTCACCTCACTGAATTTTAGCTATTCTATACTAATAATTTTGATGGTACTTCATCACAAATTTGTTTGTAGATAGGAGGTTTAAAGTGTCATGCACTATGATATTTTCTTTCTTGGTTCTTTGTATCTTTTATATTCTTTTTCTTCGAACCAGAGTAGAGCATACAAAATACGTACTCATGTTTTGTGGTTATAGCTTTAATTTTTGTAAGAAAGCATAGTGCTTCAAGATTTTGTATGGAGGAATACTTGTTAACAATTTGTCATAACCCCGTCTCTTGGTAGCAGCTAAGAAGTTTATCTCCCGAGGATATGCTATGCTATTTCAAAGAAGATTATCACCTCTTGATCCAGGTATGAATTGAAGATTATCTACTCTATTTCATATTTTGATGATTTCGAGTTGCTGCCCTTAATCTTTAGAATTTCCAATTATGCATTGTTGTATTACAATAAATAATATATTCATGGTGCTACTGTTGGTACCTAATAATTTATTAAGGATCAATTTAAATGTTGCATTTGAGATTGTTAATGTTAATTGTTTCTCTAATAATGTACATGTGCTTATGGATCTTATCTTGGCAACATGTTTCACTTTTTTTTTAGGTTTTTTTGTTTTTGTAAATTGATACGGTTTATTTTCCTAAAGCTTCTGACACACAGATGTTATGTGAACAATGTGAGTCAAACTTATTTGTGACCAAAGAACACATTTACAAGTGGAGGTTCACTTGTGAAATTATGATTCAATCAGGAATTTATCAAATGGTTTCATGAGAGAAGAGAGCTCTCCTGATGCTGCATCAGAGAAGGAGTTGGTATGATTTGTTCTACTGGAGTTCATTTATTTATAATTTATGATTTCTGATGCTATTGTAGAAATATATAAAATTGATACTGATATGGATTCTTATTAATTTACAGGGTAATGAGTACTTTAAATAGAAGTTTAAAGAAGCAATTGATAGCTATTCTAGGAGCGTTGCATTATCACCAACTGAAGTAGCCTGTGCAAATAAGGGGAATGGCTTATCTCAAAATAAGAAGGCAAGTTCTTCTAGATGAGAAGATATTATATATAAACAGTAAAGGAATGTGGCACAACATGATAGAGGATAGAAAAATGCTTGGGATCTCCAATTTTGGGGACCCCCACAAGTCTCAAAGTGATCTCAACCATTCATGTATGTGTGGGGCCCACTCATGTATGTGTGGGGCCCACTCATGTATGGTTGAGATCACTTTGGGGGTTGTGAGGGTTCCCAAAATTGGGGGTCTCAATTATTGTTGTAGAGGATATCAGCTAGAAGATTTATTTATTTTTTGATAAATTAGCTAGAAGATTTGGTGTTTCCTCCACCCTATTGTTAATATCTCGGACTTTTGGACCATAATAAGTGATCAGAAAGCTAGTAACCTAATTTCTAATTTCATGCACATGACTTCTGGAGAATTTTATAATAAAAAATATGGGTACTTTTTATAATAAAAAAAAATGTAATTTTATCTTTCCACCTTCAATTTTAACAGGAAAGTTATGTTCTTTGTGGAGACAAATGAGAGAAGCTCTACTAGGAAGGATTTTATTTCCACATCTGACATGTGTAGGGACAAATGAGAGAAGGTCTACTAGGAAGGACTTCATTTTCACACATGTCAACACAAAAGGACTGTTACTCTACAACTGAAGAAATGGTGGCTTGATGTCTTTCCCAAGGCCATCTCAATATTTATTTACGACAATGTTTCAAGTTTTTTATTTTTATTTTTTTATTTTTTTATTTTTTTTAAGGTGTGTAACTCATAAATTTGTTTTGTTTCGTTTTGTTTTATTTTTTTTTATCCGGATATAGTTTTCAAAAGAAATGAATGATATAAGGAGAAACAAATTTGAAAAATTATATATAGTGACATTTTCTGTAAACGTCAGTGAAAGTTCGCTAAGTATTTGCAGAGATTGCTGCATAAGTAAGTAGCAGCGTTTAACAAAAAAACATTGGCGAAAGCTATTAGCGGCGTTGATGTAAACGTCGGTAAAAGTAATTAGTGGCGTTTATCAAACGTCACGAAGCTATGGCGACGGCCGTATCCTCAACGAATGGTAAGGACGCCACAATAACTTTTAGCGACATTTTTTGAGCCTATACTGACATTTTTAAAACGCCACTAATTTCTATTTTTCTTGCAGTGCATATTCAATTGTCTTTAAAATAATTGACGATAAGTGTATTTTTAAAAATAAACAATTTATTTTTTTTAGTAATAAATGCGATAAATTGAGGCCAAGTTTGGCATATTGTAAAAAAGTCAAAAAGTTAAAAAATTATTCAAAAAGTTAAAAAGTTAACACTATTTATTAAAAGTCAATAATTACGGCTGCACAACTCACAATCCTAATTTTTCTCTACAAATTAATTTTTATAATTTTTTATTACACATTTTTTCATAAAAAGTCAAAAAGTTAACCAAAATCTCTATATTTTCTTTCTCAATTTTTTAGTCTAAAAAGACAAAAAGTGCACTTATTTAGGACACTCCAAACAATCCCTGAATATGTTACAATTATTGGAACGACTTAATTTTTTTTGTAGGTAATATACACAAAATACTTTACAAAATAAACAATTCGAATCATCAAAACAAGACACGTGATGAATCCCACAACCCCGGACAACAACCATAACTCATGGATTGAAGGCATCCAAAACTTGAATAAAAACTTTTGTAGAGGCAAACTTAATGATTTTAAAAAATAAGATACAATATTTGACGCAACATAAAATGTAAATAGCAGCAAAATCACACAACATTTGACGCAACATAAAATGTAATTTCGATAAAATGTAATTTTGACGCAACATAACTTTTGTAGAGGCAAACTTACAAATTTGAAAGTTCATATAATGATTTTAAAAAATAAGATACAATATTTGACGCAACATAAAATGTAAATAGCAGCAAAATCACACAACAAAGAAAACTATTAACTCTTTTATAATATGTTGATTTTGAAGTTTACTATAACTATAGGAAAAATAAGAGAATTCTCTCGATAAATATGTCAAAAGTTAAATTGCCTTAAGGTTTACAACCTTATTTATAATAAAAGATAATTCCTAAACCAACTACCACTAAAAATAAAAATAAAAATAAAAATAAAAATAATTCTTGTAAAGTAAGCAATCCTATTCTTGTAGAACAAGAAAATAAATGAAATAGGAAACCTAAATAAACATGAAACTAAATTTCGGCTCCATGCCTTTTTCAAGTATAAGGCACGTTTCCACCCATATTGTGTCAACTTACTTTATCCCATATCGAAAGAGTCGTCACTTAATTTTATGGAGAATTAAGAAACCTTTAAAAATGAAAACTAAATTAAGGACCTGAGTCGCCACAATCAGAGATTACCAGTTCAGGAGCTACGGTACAAAAGAGGAAGCATCGTGGAATGATACACCTCCTTTTTGCCGAATCCGAAAATTGACCTATACTAGTATTTTATTTTATGATTTTAGTGATTAATTATTTCATTCAAGTTCATTTTAAGCCTAAATCATTACTAATAAATATCATTTATTTTAGATTAAAGAATAAAGCCATATTTTTCCCAAAAGAATGGCTCTGTTTGGTTTAGTTTTGGAATTATGATTTGAGTATGGAGTTGTGATTTAAGTATGGAATTGTGAGTTGAGTTTTGAACATAGAAAATTTGTTTGGTTGTGAGTTTTGAAAAGTGTTTTGAATTTGCAATTTTGAAAAGAGTTCGCGGGGCCCTAACATGCCGCTACTGAATCCGGGGAAGCCAGTTCTTTTTGATCTAATGGTGCTAGGCTCTTGAAGCTCCACGGGAAATGAAAAAGAAGAACCAGCGAGACATCGACTTCGAGGAAATTGGGAAGACAGGGCGCGCAAGCATCCACCCTTTTTGAGCTCGAAGGCACCGTAAGGTAGCCAACCATGAAATCTATTTCAGTAGAGCGTATGATATTGATGGCTTAAAGCACTCAATGGGCTAGGGTGGCGAGCTATTGGTTAGGGAAGAGTACCTAGGAGTAAATTATTCAAAAGATAAAGATAACAGAGCTTCCGAACAAGCATCCGGTGCATCAATAGTTAGACCGCTCAGCGGAGACTTCCAGAATGCCCATATATACTAAGACCTTGTTCACACAATGAAGAAAGGCTGAGTGGAAGGGGGTAGTTAGTTGGCTCCGATCATAGATTGTTCGATTTATAGCAATTCATTTGACGAAAGAAGATGTAATAAACAATAAGAAAGGGAAAGCAGGCGTAGAGTGTGCTAAGCATCTCAGAGAATGACACTACGAGGGTTAGGATAAGGAAGTCGAGGAGTTCAAGGAGAAACGGGCCTCCCACTAGTTGAGGAGTAACAGGGTCAGTTTTGAGATTTAGGGGGCCTAAGGCTAATTTCAGAAATGGGGGCCTCTCTTACATTGGAAAAAAAAAAAAAGGTTCATGGATAAAACGATTAGTTACAACTTTTTTTATTTGTTTGTAGCCACAAAAAAATTTACTTGTACATATAATCATTAAAATTATAAACAAACAATTTAATGAAACAAAATTAGGGAAAAAAATTAGGAAAAAATTATTCAATTAAAACTGATAAAGACCTAGGTAAAAAAATTAGGGCAAAATTATTTATTCCACTAAAATCTAATAGATAAAGAAGGTAAAAAAAAATTAGGGCCCATATATTGTATGTATTCTTCTTCTTGGGCTTAAACATTTTTTTTTAAACATATATTTTCATTTTAATAAATATGGGCCAAACTACACTTATAAATAAATATGGACTAAACCATACATGGACCTAATAAAATATTTTGGAGCCCTTTAAATTGATCCTAAAAAAAAAAAAAAAAACATTGGGCCTAGAACATTTTACTAAATTTGAGAGTCCTATTTTTGGGCCAAAATTTTGGGGCCTAAGGCACAAGCCTTATTGGCCTTAGGCCAGGGCCGGCCTTGAGAAGTGAAGGAAGGCTCCAAGTCAGTTTATTCAAGCACAGGGAATCATTCGCTCTGAGGTTTACTCTTCTAGTAGTACGAGCTCATTAATATCTGGACGTTAGAGCTAGTTAACGTCCGCTGTTAAAGTCCAAATTCTTCTTTCTTCTATGGGATGTTGTTAGAGCTGACAATACTGGACTTGGCTTCGTTCACTCCACAATCATTGAATCCGGATTCAAAAGTGGCTGCACTCTTTAAAAGTAAAAGCAAGACGAGAATTTATGAAAGGAAAGTTTGGATGAATAGATTCACGAGCGGAGGACTAAGTCGAAGTTAAAGTCGGTGCCATTGTTAGTGCCAATGCAAAATAATAGTGAACACTAAGTGAAGAGCTACCCTTGAGTTTTGAAAAAAGTTTTGAGTGGTATTTTAAGTTTTGAGTTTTTGAATTTTGAGTTGTGTTTTGAAATTTTTTAGATTTCTTTTTTGAAAATTTAAAAAAATGTTTAAGCAAATTTTATTTTTTTAATTTTAAATATATAATTTTTATTTAAATTTTTTAATTTTAAATATTTTATTTTAATTTGTAAATATTTTAATTTTTTTAATTTTAATATTTTAAATTCAAAACACAACTCTATACTCAAATCGTAACCAAACATATCACTCAAAACTCTATTCAAAAACAATTTTTAAAACTCATAACCAAACACAAAACTCAAAACTTAATTCAAAACTTTTTTCAAAACTCATAACCGAGCTCTTTTCAAAATTCTGTATGAAAAAAAATTCAAAAAAATATTTTTCTTTTGTTTTTTAAAATTATTTTTAGAATTATGATTTGAGCGTGGTGAAAACCGGACCGATGAGCAAACCGGAAAAATGAGTGAGTGGATGGGTCACTGGTTCAACTGCGGATAAACCGGAATAAATGTATGAAATATAATGCACATTAAAATAAATAAATATTTAAAATATAAAATATTAAAAAAAATAAATCCAAAAAATTTCAAAATACGACTCAAAACTCAAAATACAACTCTTTTCAAAATTTATAATCAAATAAATTTTCTCTTTTCAAAACTCAACTCAAAACTCATAACTCAAAATACAACTCCACACTCAAATCATAATTTTAAAAATAATTCCAAAAAATAAAATAAAAAATATTTTTTTGATTTTTATTTTTATTTTTAAATAGAGCTTTGAAAAGAGTTTGATTTTGAGTTTTGTAAAGAGTTTTGAGATATGTGTTTGGTTATGAGTTTTGAAAATAGTTTTTAAATTAAGTTTTGAGTTTTAAGTTTTGAAAAAGTTTGTTTGGTTATGAGTTTTGAATTTTTTTGATTGGAATCACAATTCCAAAATACAGCCAAAAGCTACCATGATTTGCTAATAAAAATAGATTTTTGATCATCCATGGTCATAAACTTAAACTAAAATGAACAATATTCATAGAAAATCATTCAAAACAAACAATTTTGAATAGAAAGCATATAATTTGGATTATTGAAAAACAATGCAACCAAGCACGCACGCACTACGAAGAATAGGACTTACTCACATGCCTACTTCAAGTGACTTATAAAGACATAAATTAAACATGACTTAAAATACAACTAAACATACAAGTAATGATCTTAAATCCGGTTTGAGGTTACTAAATGATGCTTATGCATAAGAATACAAATAACAAATAAAAGGCAAAGATAATATAAAACTACATGATGATCAAACTAGACTTAATGCATGATTTCTACATGATTAAACAAACTCAAACATGTTGTTCTAATAGGAATAAAGAAAACATGCAAGAATAGGCAAGAAAGCTAACAAAATAGACAAACTACATGATGAAATGGTGAACTAGCACTTTAGTTATGATTAAAAATTGAAAATAGGTAGAAAATAAGTACTAAAATATAAAAAGGAATAGAGTTTACTTGCTGGTTTGACTAAATCGAAGGCACGCAAAGAAAAGACAAGAAAACAAAGGTTTTCTTACTTGCAAACCTCCTTCAAGCAAAGATTTCTGATTATAGTCAAGTTATTCAAGTCTGCATTGATTTAAGTGTTCAAAGTAGGTGTGTGCGGGCACCATGCTTTTTTCGAGTTTAAGGCCATTCTTACACAAAATGTTGTGCCAACTTACATTAACCAACAAAGAGTCATCACTTAATTTTTAAGGAGAATTAAGAAACCTTTAGCAATGAAAACTAAGTTGAGAACCGATCCGTCATAACCAGAAAGTTCTAGATTCGGGAGCTTAGGTACAAAAGTAGAAAGTAATTGAATGATAACACCCTCTTTTGCCCAATCCAAAGATTGACCTCTACTAACTTTCTGTTTTATGATTTTAGAGGTTAATTATTCATACAAATTCATTTTAAGCCTAAAAAAATCCTTCACCAATCCTAAAACTATGTGATTTGAATAAAATGAACATCATTCATTTAGATTAAAGGGATAAAGACATATTTTCCAAAAATAATAATTTTTCAATAAAAAATAGATTTTATCAATCCATGGCTATAAACCAACCTAAAATAAGTAACATTCATGAAAGCATTTAAAACAAACAATTTTACATAGAAAATCAATTAACTTAGATTATTGAAGAGACAATGCAACTAAGGACACACATGGTATGAAGTTCAAGGAGACTTACCCGGATGTCCACTCAAGCGTGTTTCATGCAGTACATAAATTAAATATGACTTAATATGGTATACGATCCTAAGCCTGGTTTGAGGCGACTAACATAATGATTATGCAAGAAAAGCAACTAACAAGTAAAAAGAAAAAATAATCTAAACTTACATGATGATCAAACTGAGCTCATGAATGCACACTACATGATTAAAATAGGCCTAAAACATTCTGTTTAACAAGAAATCAGAAAGCATGCAAAGATAGGTGAGAAAATAAGAGAAATAGACAAACTACATGATGAAACGATGGATGAATGCCTAAAATATGATTAGCTACTAATAAAAAAAAGTAAAAGGGTACTGAACTTGAAAAGAAAGAAGGGATTACATGTTGGTTTGTTTAAGAAGCAGCAAGAAAAACCAAGTTTCTTGATTGCAAACCTCCCTCAAGCAAAGGTTCTGATTATTATAGTTATATGTCTTAATCATCATTATCACGTCATTATTATAGTTTAAAAATTCTGAAAGATTAGAATTTTGTGAAAATAATAATTAAATTAATCTACGTTCCCAAATCCATTGCCAATAATGTGTTTTGGTAAATGCTTGCAAAGCCATTCTAAGCTTGTACATGGTTTTCATATTCTCCTTATAAATGTTTTTCAGGATAAGGAAGAGCAGAAACAAAATATAAAAATAAAAAATAAAAGATTATATGAAGAGGACAATTATGGGTTTTAATCATCTTAGGTTCAAAATTTTGAGATACACGAAAATAATCTCACTAAATTTGTTATTTTTATTATTCATAATATAAGTTGTTTATTTTGTATTATTTGGCACAAAGTCGTTCGATTACAAATAATTTCTCTCTCTCTCTCTCTCTCTCTCTCTCTCTCTCTCTCTCTCGTAACATGGCTAACCAGCCCAATTTGTCTAGGATATTGAAGAAATCTAGTAATATTAACAATATTTTCATTTGGAGCAAATCTGAAAGTTCCTGTTTTGCTGTTAACCAAAGCATGCATTTCTAAAGCATTAATGCAAGCAATTTGAATTCGTCCCTTTTCATAGTTTGCCAAGAATATGAAAGAAAAGCAAGCATCTCTCGATTTTCCCTACTTGTGTCCTCTATAATTCTCAAAGAAAAAGAGAATTATTAAAATAAATTAAAATTAAATGCCTGAGAGAGAAAGAGGGGAGGCGAAAAAAAGGGAAATAAAATTAAAATCATTTGAAAAAAAAAAAATTGAATGCCCTTTTCAGCATGAATACAAACGACAAGAGATATAAAAAGACTTGTCACCTTAAATGGCTGAAAGCTACTTTCAATATTCTAAGGAGAAAGTCAAGGCCAGATTCACTTGAATTTTCCATTTCTTACCCACCCAAAAAAGAAGAATTTTTCATTTCCATCCATTTTCCTTCTTTTTTTTTTTTTTTTTTTATTTGTTTGTTTACTTTAGTTTTCTTCCATGGATCACTAATAGCTTGTGATTACATCAAGAAGCACCTAATATTCAACTTATGTATAATGTATTGAGGCCTCGTTTGGGAACAGGCTAATTTAGTAACTTTTTGGTTATTTGGCTAAAAATGTAGGTAAAAAAAACTTGTATGTTTGGGATGACTTTTTGGCTAATTACGAAAAGATGTGCAAAAAGTAGAGAGAAAAGAGAATCTTTGACTTTTTGGTATGAGTTGTTGGCTTTTTGACTAATTTAGTAACTTTTAGCTAATTGGCTAAAAAAGTAAGCCCCCAAACGGGGCCTGATTCTCAGAAACTTTGAGTTTTGTATGATTTTTTATTTTTATATATAACAAATAACAACAATCTCCTGGATCTGGATGTTGCAGCTGCTTAGTCATTTGCGATGCCCTGAGGACCCCATCAAAACACCAACAGCAGCAATAAACATGAACAACATGCCTCCAAGCAATATATATGTTCGTCGTGACGATTTCCTGTACTCTCCAAACAGAAGTATACCCCAAAAGGTGCTTACAAGTGGAAGTGCCTGATTAATTGTACCATCCAAAATGCAAATTGTGTAAGCAAGCAAGTGTACTAATGACGCTGCAACGTGAACAAAAATACCTACGCATAAAAAAATACCCCTTACACAAACCACTTGCAAAAATATTTAAAATTTTGGAGGATGAAGATAATATTATTTAGACCTTAGATGGGGCAAAATGCTTCTTTTATAAGTAGTCCAAATATATAGATATTCTGAAGTTTGGGTTGTGTTTGCCAATATGTAGATGTTCATAATTTTGTAATAATAATAATAATGTCCATTCATTCATCCATGTGTATGAAAAAATAGAACTAACCTGAACCGCATCAGCAGCAGCATACCCTGCTGCTTGACCTCCCATAAATTGGAGACCATTTCCAAATCCACAAAGGAGTCCAGCCAATAAGGCCCAACCTCTGCCGTTCCAGTCTGTCAGATAAGCCCTTAACGATGATCTTGGTAAGTTCAATACAGGGTGGTAGAGGAAACTGATATTTAAAATGATGGCAATCACAAAACAAGAGACTGAGAAGTAGAAAAAAGCAGTGTAGACACTCAAGTGAGGAACTCCGTGTTTCAAGCTGTGCCACTGATCATTTGTTGCTAGGTTGAATGCAGGTGAGAAAAGAGAGAAGCAAACCCCAGCAAAGAAAGTTATGGCCAATCCAATCACAGTGCTCTTTCCAAACACCTGCAAACAGAATGTGCCAATATGCATATCAACATTCATGCAACCACACGACACATATATGCCCGGAAGAATTAAATTGCTTGTAAAACATATGATATGCATAGTCGCATTAAAATGCACTTCTGTTGCTGTCCTAATTGACACTATATGTGCCATGTATGTTCAAATGGATAGCTACTAATGTACATAGGAAGAAGATGTTCAAACTTAAAACTGACTGATTTGTGTCTACAAATTATATCACCGATTGAGCAATAACATCTTAAAAAGTAATGGGATAATGGTGATCATTTTGTTGCAAAGAGAGAGACAGAAGTTAATTTGTTGGCTTGTCAAGCATTGCTACAGAGAAATATGCATACCAAAAAAAAAAAAGCCAAGGGGTACAATGAAAAACAACACAAGAAAGCCCTCAATCATGAAGTGTCCACCAACCTTAATTGCTCTTCTATTCTCAAGCTCTATAAGAAAGCCTGCACTCCCAAATTTTGCCTTCTCTGAAGTACTACTTCCATTCTCCAGATCCTTTGCTCCACCTATAAATGTTCGAAATTGGAAGATGAAGATTAAATAAATAAAACATAAAATGGCAGTTTGAAAAATAGAATAGGCCATGATATGGAAATTCAAATCCAGATAGTTTCTTACCTTTGTTTGGATTTGTTTCTTTTGACACAGAAATACCAGTAGCCCTGTCAAGCATTTATTTGTGGCGCTAACATCATTGTTTTGTTAATATTGGTGTATGATAAGTTCAAAACATCAATGCTGCTGTATTTTTTTTTATCAGAATAATCCATACAAATCAGAACTATTGCATCAATATCTCAGAATGAATACTTTCTTCTTTTTTTTTTTTTTCTTTCTTTTTTTTTTTTTTCATCTGCACCATTGGGGCTTAAAGAAATAAAGAATGTGTTTGGTAATTGTAAAAGGAGATCAATGAAGTGAGCCTGAAAAATTCCCTCTAAGGGCGTCTGCAGAACAAGAATGGTGCTTTTTCAATTACTTGATGGAATTTGGATGCTGTTACGGTGAAACGGAAGGCATGCAATCTGCTGCCCACTCATCTCAGAAACAGTATGACTACTGTAATGATATGTGCCCCGACAATAAACATTGATGTTGTCTTCCTGATTTGGCTTTTAATATTCATTAAGAAATTAAACACCAAACTCTTATTCTCCGAGCATATGATTAAAAAAAAAAAGAGTAAAATAATCTAAGAAAGAATTGTACCCTTCACCAGTTTTGCAATCATTTGAAAAATTACTAAGCTTTGCTCTATTATCAGCCGCATTGGATGCATGAACAGCAGAGCCAAGACAAACTGCAATCAAGAAGCATCCAACACCGGGAAAAAGAATCTCGGCTTTATTGATTTTGTTATCTAAGAAGTAGTTCAAGGTTGTTCCTGTTGCAGTCAGGGTAAAACTATAAGTGAAATTGTAACATAATGTCATCTGATGTATTTTATAAAGGCTAGCTAAGACATGAAGTCCATCAAAGATATATGGGGGAAAATAATACCTATAACCACAGTTATGCTTGAAGTGATCACCTCGGTCACTGATAAACCAACCAAGGCCCAAGCATATTGTGTGGACAGGTTTCCTATGCTGAGGACCACCCCACCAGCCATTGCCCATAGAACACAGGGCCAATTGTCCTGTATCAAAAATCGTAATTAACAGTCTGAAATAAAGGCACAACTTATAGTGAACATAGAATATACGAATGGTAATACTGTTAGAATTTGGTTTTCTAAAACGAATGACTGGCTCAAGAAAGCAAAAACTCGTGTGCTTCTTTTTCTTAGAATTAAAAGTTAAATCCACCAGAACAAGACAAAACACCACCATCCCAAGCCATAAAAGCCAACTTTAGAACCCTAATAATTCAAAAGGCACCACTCAACTCTTTAAATACCCTCGATCCATGTTTTATTTCATCATAACTGCCTTGTTGAAGTGAGACTACTTAGCTTCCAGCTATAGTATTATGTGTGCCAAAAGATGAGCTTATCAAGTTATCATTATTAGGAGGGCACTGAATTAGTGAATCTGATTATGGGAGGAGTTATATGTTTATTGCTACAGCTGCAATATACATAGTGGCCACAAAGAGTTAATAATCCTTGTAAAAATTGGGAATGAATAGAAGAAAGAATATGTTAGATTTCTGACCATTTAATGGCATCAGCTAATGGAATATATGCTTTGCTGTGGTATTGCAATAATTGACAACTGTTAGGGACATATGATTCTAGGTTGCGGCATTGGCGATCCTTAATGAGAATGATGTTCCTATTCATGCCGCATAGACAATTTGTAGGCTCCCTTTTACACCCCGTCTGTGGCCAAACTAAAGAACAATTACACATATCTCAATTTTCCTATAAAATGGCAAACATAACAATGATAAGAAAATTAACAAGACATTGCAACGCCACTGGATTTAGGAAGTTAGCTCACTTAATTAGATAGAACTTGAAATGCTTCTATTTGTTTTCAGTACGTGTCGCCCGATTAACCCTAGACAATGAAGGAGAGACCAACCTGAGAAAGCTGAGTCATGAAATTTGGCTGTTCGTGTGAGCTCTTGCCGATCTCACCAAAGGTGAAAGCAATAATTACGGCAGCCAAGAGGTTGGTCATTGTGTAATCAAGGTAAGTGTGCTGCGGAAGACGACCTCGTCTTTCTACGAGAGTCATTATAGCAGGCCACGTGCCCAAGAAGAACAGGGAAAACAGCATACATGCTATAGCACCTCCCTTGCTCTCCACCAAATACATATCTTCAATTCAACTTACTAGAGAAAAATCCTCTCAAATGGAAGAGTTATCAATGAAGGAGCACCCAAAAAAATTCCTAACAAAGAAGAGCAAATTTTAATTAGACTCTTTCAGTAAGCCTTCTATTTCATCAAATTTAGCAGATCCACTAACTTAAGAGGCCAAAAGGCACGTGGAAAACTGTCCTAGTTTTCAAGTAATGATTGTGTTACTCACTACAGAAACTCTGAAGGAAAAGATGCACTCAGACAAGAAAGCACTAAAACATCAAAAGGCCTAAAAATTGGTTGGTTTGGGGAAAAAGTGTACCCATAATATTATAACAAATTTGAAATAGAACAAGTTCACAGACAATAGTTATCATGCAAAAAGAGTGAGAAAGAGGTTAGTGATACTAAGCACATGCAAATAGGAAAATGAAGACAAACAATACCCAAAAAGAAATACCTAGAAAAAGAACAAAAGTAAACCAAACCAAACCAAGTCTTCAAGTCTCATCAAATGGGGTCATGTGAATCCTTTTTTTCCATTAGACTTAATCAAAGGCCATTTAGTTAGTCAAATTAAAAAGATTCATATATCTATTTACTACATTAGTCCACGCCAATCTACACCTGCCCCTTCCCTTAATACTCAGTAACACTTCAATTTACCATCACTGTATTGCATCTCTTCACTACTGTCTCCGTTAATCTTTGTTTTATATGAATAATAATTTCCATGCCACAGATCATGAATGAGATAGTATTTGGAATGAAAGTAAAACTAGCATGACAATCCATTGTAGAAGTATTTGAATCTTAAAAATAAAAATTAAAAATAGAAGAAGAAGAAGAAGAAGAAGAAGAAGAAGAAGAGACAAAAGTGTGAAAAATAATGTCCACTATGAATGATAGTATTTGGAATGAAAATCCAAAAAACCAAAGAGAACACCTATTGAAGTCAACAAATAAAAGCCATATCCAATCACTGAACCATGAAAGATAGCAGTTCTTTTATGAATAATAGAGTTTTCCTAACAACAAAACACTTTTTTTTTTTTTTTTTCTCTCTCTCTCTCTCTGAGGATTAACATCAAACACTTGGCAAAGAGAAGTGTAACAAAGAGATTTTTAGCCTACCAATTAAGAGACAATAATAATATGAAACAAAACAACTTATTTGGGGGAAGCCAAATTTGGCCACAAGATTCACACACCACAATCGCAAACCTCATTGCTACCTACCTACATACATACATACATAATAGATACAATAGAAACAAGGGGCAAAACCAATTCCCAAAGCTGGTGGAATCTTTCTCCCAAGAAAGAATGTAAAATTAACTTCAAAACTGGATATTATTGTAGCAAATTTTGAGAGAGAGAGAGAGAGACCCAGATGCAGATGCTCCTGAAATGTCAACTCTCAAGTCTAATCTTGTAGGGAACACAACACAAGATATAAGAAAAATGCTTTGGAATTTTAATTTTTGAATACTTTAATGAGTTAATGAGTTAGCAGTGGCTTCCACCCACGGTGATGTGCTGTTTTGGTTTTGATTTGTTTTGATTTTATTTTTTTTAGTTCATTGTCATATCATTAGTACTTTATTAAAGCACTAAAATTAGTGGTACGAATCTTTGCTGCAAGATATATAGGACGAGGATTCGTGGTTGGTTGATTCTTGATGAGAGAGACCATTACTCCATTTTCAACGTGTGCGCTCATCTGCTTCAGAAAAAATAATAATAAAAAAGAATAGTGGTGTGGTGGGCAAACGGGAATCTTTATGGTCGTAGCTATTAGCCCTTGCTTAAATGTTTTGGATGTTCACTTTTACGAGCTCTCATTTTAAATTTTAAATTTTAATAATATTTTTTTAAACACTTTATTTAGGTCTTGTTTGGCAATAGATCGATTTAGTTAAAAAGTCAAAAAATTATTAAAAAAGTTAAAAAGTAAACAATCCATATAAAAAAGTCAAAGATTTTCTTTTCTCTGTATTTTTTACACATCTTTTCGTAAAAAGTAAAAAAATCATCCCAAACATACTAGTTTTCTTTAGCTCATATTTTAGCTAAATAGTCAAAAAGTTACTAAATTAATCTGTTCCCAAACGAGGCCTAATATTAAATTTATTTCTATTCATAATATTATTACATTCAAGACCCACTTAATTTTGCACACTCTTTTTCCTTTTTCTTTTTATGACCATTCATCTTCTGTTGAAAAGACATCGATGGTCATTGTATCAATGAATACCATTGCCTTAGTGAATAATATTATATTAATGGTCCATCATTAAAATTCTTGTCAACTCTCAACGAAAAGAGGAATTGACTCGATAGTATCTAAAAAATACTGTCAAAAAACTTGTTAGAAATTCCTACCTACTATTGCAGCAAACTTGTCAAAAATTTCTCTTAGATAAAATCCTCAAGAAATAAACAGTTTGGTATTGAAGATGAAAAAATCGAACTCTTCGACACAGCAATTCTCAACATAAGCTCCAACTAAATCAGAACTTACATAGTGAAAAAAGAATCCAACACAACCAATACTATGTTAATCACAATCCTGAGGCCATAGCACTTGGTATATATATTTGACACAGGCTAATCATTTTAAAAAAAAAATTATATCAAAATAAATTTTTTTCTTAAGAATTTTTTTTAAAAATAAAAGAATAAAAAAATTCATTTGACGTATGTTAAAGCGAAACAAAGAAGAATATGCCCATCATTTGTTTTATATGTAGTATAAATAGATATTAATCTTGCAAGGAAAACACTTCGCCAGATGGGAACAGTGGCCCGCCAGAGTAGACTTTTTTTTGGGGTTTGGTATTTACTTTAGTTTTGAGTCAAACATATGCACAAATATAGCGAATGTTTTGTGGATTTCAGTGATATGATTCTTATGATTTGTCTTGTCTCCATCATAATTTTTATTTTATTTTTAGAATTATGTGAATATTTAGGTCAAGTTTGACATGATTGAAAAAGATAAAAAGTTAAAAAATCACTATCCTATTTAAGTCACATCATCTTATTTAAGTCACATCACCTCTCTAACATATCACTTCAAACCCAACCCATATTTCATAAAAAGTCAAAAAGTGCATTTATTTAATCTTCCCAAACTAGGCCTTAGTTTCTCATTATTAAGAACCTAATTAGTATGGTATTTCTAAAACATAAAGGGTGTGTTTAATTTGTGTTTTGAGATAATTTTTTTTTAAAAATTTTTTGGAGAGAGTTTAATTTTTTTTTTTGGTTTTTTGATTATATATTTTGAAAATAGTTTTGGAATTTGAGATGATTTGATATTTTATTGTAGTTGAGTAGATGTGTGTGAGAGAAAAAATGATTGATTGATATGTAAGAGAGAAAAAGTGATTTTGAAAAAAAATTTCAAAAAATTTAAACCAAACAAAATTTTAAAATTTTTTTTCAAAAATTGTATCTTGATATACAAATCAAACAAGCCCAAAATAATTATTCTTTCTGATAGGGTTTGGCTATAACTACAAAACTATACTTATTTATCTTTAATTTTTTTTGAGTCACATCATTTTTTTTATTTTTCTGTACATTTTTCTTTAAAAGTCAAAAACAATACTTGTTAGGAGAAAATGGTTAAAAATTGACACTTTGACCTTTTTTTTTGAATTTTTTAAAAAAAATATGCAAAAAATATGAGAGATAATGTGACCAAAAATAAGTTGAAAGTTAAAAAGTGACTTTTAACTCACTTCTCAAAAGAGGCCAAATACATTTTTTATTATTTGAATGATAGATCTTATAAAATTTATCAAATAAATCATCTATACAAAAAAAAATAAAAATAATAATAATAAAAAATTAAATTAAATATCAATAACTATGTGAATAAATCATATTTATTTAAATAATATATATATGAATTTTAAAAAAAATACAGTTGTCTCAATTTTTAAAATCATATTTTTCATTCAATCATGTAATTATTAATATTTAATTTTATATAAATGACATATTCAACAAATATTATAAAATAAAATAATTTAAATAATAAAAATGGTCATTAAGAAGGCCTCGGTTTAACTATGGAGTGAACCTGTTGGCTTTTTGGCTTTTGAAGGTTATTTTTTTAATTATAAGCGTGCCAACAAAGATCAATCAGTCCTTACAGAATTTTGATTGTCAACCAATTATCAGACGATTGTGTTGTAGTTCTTTCAGCCTCAATGAAGAGAACTTTTACTGGTGGCTTGATTTAGGAGAATTTAAGCACAAGAACAGTAAAATAAAGAGCAATTGAAGCATTTCATTAGTATGACAACTTACAATGATCCAAACTCAGCCTCGTAGAGGTTTACAGTGATAATTTACTTGAAACTACTCCTATGAATGAAGTGCAGTGCAGGAATTTAAAGTACAAGAATGTAAAAAACAAGAAATATAAAAACTGGAACGAAATATGTAAAGTAAGACTGGTTTCTTGGATCTAAGTTCGGGGCTTTTTTCTGGGGTTTTCCCGGCTATTTATACTCCTCAAAGATGACCATCGAACTGCACTTCAAACTGTCGAACTGCTCCTCCGTGATCACTGATCATGCTGCCTTACAAGTAGTTCCACTACGCCATCACTTGCAGTTAAGCTTGCCTCCTATATTTGAATTTGAATGTGAGTAACCGCTGAAGCTACGTCACCTTGCATCTCTTTGCTGATCCAATGTCACTCGGATTACGCAATAGACAATATCAACTGTCATGTGTACGATCAGGATCGAAGACTTGAACAGTCTTCCTATATTACCCTTACTCTGCCACGCGTCGAACTGTAATTGGTCTTTTACAAAATATGTAGCCAACATTACCCCCCACACTAATATACCCAATACTTGGTGATATTAGTGGATCCAAGCCATGTAATGATATACAATAATCAGAAATGGAAAAGATTCCAGAAACAAAGGCGCTTTTTGGAAAGTTGCATGTTGTCGGTCAGGCAATGACTATGAGCACTACTTCTATGAGAAAAGTTATGGCTTTACTTTTTAGTTGTAACAACTTTTACGTATGGTTCTAATTTTGAGACTCAAATGTAATGCCTAATTAAACTACAATGTTATGCTGTCTAAATTCTTGTCATTGTTATTCTTAGAGTGCTTAATGTTACCCTTTATTTTATTTTATTTTATTTATTTATTTTTTTATGACGGTAACAAGATGGTCCCCAAAAAATATGTTAGCATTTTTCTTTGTTTTTTGTGAGCAGTTGCCATAAGTAGTTTAGACGGTCGCAAATAATTTGTAACCGTTGTTTTGCCATCGCAAAAAATATTTGCCATCCCCACATTCGCAACCCTCATTTGCCGTTGCATGGGCCGTTTTGCGACTGTATTTTTATTATTTGTGATGGCTTATAACAGTCGCAAAAATTACTTGTTTTAGCAGTGCCCTACCATTTTCTCCAATAATAGCTTTTATTTTAATTTATTTATTTTTCTTTGGTAAATTATAAATATATTCTTGAGATTTGTTTAAAATATAGATTATCCTTTATGGTTTTAGAAATTATAAATATTTTCTTTTTTGAATTAATAAAAAAAAGAAATTCCTAACTACTTTCTTATACAATAATAAAATTATTGGAATTGTTAATTGAAATGTATTTTTGACATTATTGAAAGTTAATAATTGAGATGATAATTTATTAATAAAAATAATCATTTGTTATGCAATTAGAAATTTAAAAGGGTGGAAAGTAATTTTTAAAATTATAGAAACAATTCATATTTTAAAGAATGTATTTATAATTTATCCCAATTTCTTCTGGAAAGCAAGGGAGATTCTTTAGTTTTTATGTGAATTAATTGGCTGGAATTCTTTTTTAGTAAGTGGACGAAAGAATAGTCTAATATTAAATAAACCCCAACACCAATCCAAACAATCATTTTATCAATTATAAATTATATCAAAAATAAGATTGAGCCTCATGGAAAAGAAATAAACAAGGGTAACTTGCACTCATCGCTCTTGATATTTAGAAAAAGTATAATTAAATTCATTTTTTTACATAATTATATTTTTTTGTTAGTAAGGTTAAATTAATTAAAATTAATATAGATAACTGGTAGACATTAAAATAAACAAATATAAATATACATTTTAGTAGATAAGAGATAACTTTATTTTTTTATTCATGACTAATAAATTATTGATAAACAAATAAAAATAAAAAACTTAACTGTTATATAAATTAAAATTTCATAAAAGATCAATATAATTATGCCAAAAGCATGGATTAATTATATTTTTGAAATCTCATGGGAGGTTAATGTAATTTATGCATTAAAGAAAGATCCTAACAAGAAATAAATAATTAGACTATGTT